ATTAGTTTTAACACTCTTCCTAATCTACGCTTGACCATGTAGAATCATCTTTACGGTTGTCCGGGAAGCTCTATCGTCTCAAAAGATTCTTCTTTAAAAGTTCTTCATAAAATCTTTGATGAGATCCTGAAACATATACTCACAAAGAAGGATAGCGTAATGTGATGTTTGAACAAGGATGTCTCAAGAAGAGACTCTCCTGATGCTTGCAAGTTGCAAGTCCTGAAGACGTCGCATATCAATTTCATGAACATATTTCTGGAATGTAGAATTTGGTAGAGACTTGGTAAATAAATAAGCAAGATTTTCGCATGATTTAATTTGCAAGACGTTTATTTCCCCTCTTTGCTGAAGATGATGAGAAAAAAACCACTTAGGAGAAATATGCTTAGTGATATTACTCTTGATGTATCCTGTTGCATCTGTGCAACACAAGCCGCATTATCTTCATAGATAATGGTAGCTGATTCTATCGAACCAATTTCACATGACTGTTGTATGTGGTTTATTATTCTGTGAAGCCATACACATTTACATGATGCTTCAAATAATGAAATTATTTCAGAATGATTGATAAATGTTGCCACTAGAGTCTGTTTTGAAGACTTTCATGATATAGCAATGCCACCATGTAGGAATACAAAGCCGGACTATGATCTGGCATTATGGGGATCAGACAAATAGCCGGCATATGCATATCCAATCATAGCAGAGTCCTGATTTCTCTGGAACTGAAAAAATAGGCCAAGATCCTTTGTGCTTTGGAGATATCGTAAGATATTCTTCACCCCAAACCAATGCCGTTTGGTGAGAGCTGCGCTATGTCTAGCAAGTAGATTATTGCAAATGCAATATCAGGTATTGTGCAATTTGCAAGGTACATAAGCGCTCCAACGACACTGAGGTATGGAACTTCAGGTCCCAACACCTTTTCTCCATCATCTCTTGGTCTGAACGGATCTTTCTCTATGTCTAGAGATCGAACCACCATGGGAGTCTCAGATGGATAGGATTTGTCCATATTGAATTTCTCCAATATTTTTTGGATATAGGCAGCTGGTGTACCATGATTCCTGAGGGAAGGTGCTCAAGTTGAATACCTAAGCAAAATTTGGTTTTACCCAAATCCTTCATCTCAAATTCCATCTTTAGGTGATTGGGTGCTTCATCAATGTCTGATGTGTTGCCGATGATATCGATGTCATCAACGCACATAGAAATGATGCAAAATCATGTGGAGGACTTCTTGATGAAGACACATGGACAATCAACACTATTGGAGTAACCTTTCTGAAAGGAACTCACTTAGCCGGTTGTACCACATCCGCCCCGACTGCCTTAAGCCATACAATGACTTATTCAGCTTTACACAATACATGTTGCGTTTTGTACTTTTATGCGGGATAAAGATTCCGTCAGGAACCTTCATATATATGTCCGAATCTAGTGACACGTAAAGATATGCGGCCACGACGTCCATCAACTACATGGATAGACGATTTTGCACTGCCAAGGATATAAGATATCAGAAAGTGGTTGCACTCATTACTGGAGAATATGTTTCAGTGAAATCAATGCCGGGTTTCTGTGTGAAACCTTGTGCTACGAGCCTTGCTTTATATGTCACCACCTAATTGTTCTCATTCCGTTTCCGGTGAAAACCCATTTGAATCCCATAGGGAAAACACTGGGAGGTGTCGGTATTGCTTCAGTGAATACCTTTCTTTTGTTAAGCGAGGAAATTTCTGCTTGGATTGCATCCTTCCATTTAGGCCGGTCGGAGTGCTTTTGGCACTATACGATGGAACTTGGATCATGATCAGTGAGAAGGATATCTGCAATCTTTTCAGCAAAATATATGTCGATAATCGTAGTCTTATGGTCAATGATTCTCCAGAATCAACATAGTTGATGGAAATTTCCTGCACCCCTAGAGACTCTTCGTGATTTCCCAATACGATTGAATCTGGGCGTTCCGATGTTCCAGCTAGTTTGTGCACACTAGAACTGGGTTGTGGAGGTTGCCCTTCCACTGGGTGTATACTATCCATCAGGTGTTTGTCAACGTTAAGTTGACTTGCATTTACTGACTCTGAGGTTTTTCTCCTCGGTTTCCTTTGCTGCTTGCTAGGAGCTTGCTCCAGGTCAGAGGCCGTGCTACTCCCCCTCTTTTTAGGAATAGGGAGTTGAGTGGTTTTTATTGGTACCTTCATTCTTTCGGGCGCATTTCTGGACGGATTTAAGGATTTTCTAACACCTTTCAGATCAGTGAATGAATCTGGTAGATTATTTGTAAGATGTTGCAAATTAATGATCTTCCGAACTTGAGGTTCGGTCTCATGGGTACGTGGATCAGAGGACGAAATGGCATGAGCATTCCAATCAATTTCCGGGCATTCTTTCTGGTACTGGAAATCTCCCCCTAATGCCGGAAAATGTTCCTCATTGAATAGGCGATCAGCGTGACGGGCTGTGAACAGATCCCTCATAAGGGGTTCTAGGTACTTGATAATCGACGGTGATTTGTACCCAACATAGATCCCCAACTTCCTGTGTGGGCCCATAGATGTCCACTGTGGTGGTGAGATCAAGATGTATGTAGCACATCCGAACTTACGCAGATGGGAAGTGCTAGGAGGATTTCCACGTACCAATTCCAGAAGGAAAGAACTGTGATATGCAGTTGGCCTCAATTGTATCAAGTCAG